ATAGAAAACTTTATAATGCCTGTCAGAGAAATACTGTTCAGAAATCGATTGAGAATTAGAGTTTGTGTATCTATGAAAAATATATTGCATGTGTAACCCTAGAATATATTGCTAAATTTGTAAAATGTAGTGTTAGTCTGTAAAAAGTCCTCGGTTGTCTTTCGAGAAAAAGAACGAAAGGTTTTATAATCACTCTGGAAGTAATTCATAAGAAAAAGCCTTCTTCTACACTCCTAAATATACATATTATTGATAAATAAATTAATAATTACCCTATCGGTGATTATCAAACATATTTTAGAGTTCGTATTTTGTAAAAAGATCCTGTTTAGTTCTGAAAAATCGACATGTTTTCTACTAAGAAAAAGCAAATTAAAAGTTCTTTTTCTAATATCACGAACATAAAAAAATAGCTGTTTCATATAAAATTCCTAGATTATTTGTACGAATTCATGATCTAAAATATTACCACATACTAGAAGTATACTGATTTATGCTAAATAGCACAAAATACTATTTTTATACAAGTAACTATATATAGATATTTTTTAATATCAAATCCATCTTGTTTTTCATATACTGGCTATGTAGAAGGGTATAAGAAGAGGCAATTCTAAAATTAACTACTAGTGTCTTTCTTGAAACTTTTCCAACGATTTTCATTTCTGCTAACTATAAAATTGTTTTGTCGTACATAGTCCGGAGCTTGATCCATATCTTCATCATCTACTTCATCATCATCTTGTCTTTCTTCGCTATCATCAGCTGACGACTCATCAGATTGACTGAAACACAAATAAGAACTGGAAATGTCATCTGTACTATCGTTATTCTCTTCACTATCAGTATCTGTCCATGTTCCCTTTAAGGAATATCTATTCATCGCTGCGCGATCCTTAGGATCTACGAAATTCATTTCGAGACGTCTATACAAATGGTGAATCATTGTTCTTAACGGATATCTCGCTCGATTACTAGACGAAAAGTATAGACGAGAGAGTAAATCGTTTGATTTTTCGACTCCTTGCATATCGTACGCTCGTAAGTCTTCGTTTTTATCCTGTTCAGCTAAATGTGTACCTATTAAATGCATATAAGGAGTACAACCTGATCGTAGCCCTGAATGACGAAAATCTTTAACAAATGATTTCGAAATCTCAGCCAAATCATGCGTTCTTTTCGATTTTTCTGTCTTAATTATTTGTAAAATGATCTTAAACTTATTAACGAGATTTCTAGCATTTTTAGCATGGTCTTTATTTTCAATTAGGTGTTCATACGGAAATGCATCAACAAAAAAAACTTGTTGCAAATGGCCTGAAAATCGACCACAAGAAACAATTGTTTTTACGTTATTTTCTGTTTCAAGTTTAAAGAAGAACCGCTTTCCAATAGTATCAGTAGCATGTTTATTCAGAACGTCAACTTTTTCGTTCAACTTCTTCGTATGTATTGGATCATACTCTCCTGTTCGTGAAGCTTCAGCTAAGATATCTTTCAAAATGATGTCAAATATCCTTAAACGCATGTGTAGCATATCCACTACGTAATCGCTAAATTCAAATAAATCTCCAAAAAGAGGTTCTGATTGATATCCTAGCTCGTTATTCGATCGATTATTTTCTTTTTTTTCCAAACATTCACTTTTCTCTTCGAGCGTTCTAGCCCCTAAAGTTTTATCATATACTGAAGTTGGATTCACAATTGTTTTTTGCTTTTCTTTTTTTCTTTTTTTTCCAGATCCTACCCAAATTTCTTCTTCGCATACTGTATTTTTTTCAGTTACGTGCAAATAATTTTTGTGCTGAGTACAAAAAACGCATGGGTAATTACAATGAACTCCAGCTAAACCAAAAACGTATATTGCATTCTGGTAATCTCCTCCTAGCCGAATCTTAACAGTTACATTTTTTCTCTCATTGACTTTCAATTGTTTTATCGACCGAATCGAATCAAGAAAATCTTGAGGTAGAGTTTTTCGTAACAATTCATTGGATTCCTTCTGAATTTCAAATATTCCAACAGGTACGAGCTTTCTAGCTGTTTGGCATGCGGGTCCTCCATCAACACAATTAACAGAAATGGCTACTACATGCTTGTTACCCATAAGGGTACCGTCCATATTTAAACGAAATGAAAGATGATTCAGCTTTAAAAGCTCAGGCCGAAATTTTATAGCAACAAAAATAGCAGCTCGTAAAGCAAATTCGAACGGAACATATGCTGAATCTTTAGTATATTTCAACGGAATATTTTGATTCGCCTTTTTTTGAACACGTGCTAACGCTGACATCGAATAGAATGACTGCTTTGTTTCACGAAAAAACTTATGCATAGCTTTAATGGCTGAGTCTGTTATATGATGTTCATCCTTTATATGAAGAAACTTACGTAACAATTCTTCCTTTTCAGAAATTAGATCATTTTTATTTTTACTACTTTTACAAGATGCTCGTGGATTAGATTCCCAAAGTTCGTCATTCTTGAGATCAATCTCTTGTTGATCACTATCATCGTTATCTAATGGCACTTCCTGATTTTTCCGTTTTATACCTCTTGTTGAATAAACAGATCCTAAAAGCGTATCTAAATGAATGCCATCGTCAAGAGATAATAAATCTCTACCAGTCAACTCAATAGTACAAGAAAAAAACATTAATTGATTGATATCAGTTCGTGTATCCAAAATAGATGCTTTCAAACTATCCTTATTATTGTCAATATCTAACTCTAACCTTCGTTGTCTACAATAATTTTCAATAATATACAACAGTTCGTCCACGTCAACAATGTTTATTAGATCGAAGTTTTCAAGAGCCCGGAGAGCAAATGATTGACTAATATACATGTACAGACGTGTTTTCCCTGGTTGAATACATATTTGATCTTTCTCTCGAACTAACAAAACACGATCAGATGAATGTGCACTCGCGTACGATTTAAAATTAATAAATGAAAACTCATCCGTCTGTCGAACAGGCTCCACACTTTTCAAATAAAAAATAAAACTACCTGACTCATTTAAAATTTTAATAGCGGTTGTATGCTTAGTTTTAGCTTTCTTTTTAGCGTGTCGTACGAAATAACTTAATTGACTGCAGAGTTCGCGGCGAGTAGCCGGTACATTGATATAGTATTTATTCGTTGAATTGAAACAATACGTACATATCTCATTTACAAGACTAGTCAAGTTAACAGACATTGAAGAACGAGATAATAGACTCAAAAAAATGTTCTTTAGATACAGAAAATTTGTTTCAACTACTAAACCTTTGGAGTCAAGAAAATCAATTTTTAATGGAGAACATAGCTGCTTATTATTATTATTTTGAAACGAAACAGTTTCATCTTTATCATTATCGTCATCTCCTATATTGACACAAGGAACAGAGCTTGAACTGCAACTACTATGGCTATTGATAGAATTTTGTGGTATATATACGTTTAAAAATTCGCTTGCATTGTTCTTTTGCGAACGCGCAAGAGACAGTGCGTTTTTACATGACTTAACGAGACTAGTTTCACTGACAGTAATATTTTGTTCGCTAAGCTGTATGAAAACATTTTCTTTTATCTCTCGTAGCAAAACAGTCGAATCTGTTAAATTCAACCCACTGAGTTTTACTCGAATTTTCAACGATTTCTTACTCATTTCTAATTATATGAAAGACGACTATGAAAAATGTGCTATTTATAGAAATCAATACATGCAATTTGAAACAAAAAGAAAAAAAAACAGGCGAGACATGCAATAATAATAAGAGAAATAATATAGCAAAAAATCAAATATTTACCTTTGCATAAAAGATAGCTAATAAACACAAAAGACAAACACTAAAATATCGAATGTTACATTTTTTATTTTTAGTATGCATAGATTTCATTAGATTATTTTCAGGTAGTAGAAATCCAAATCAAAGTTTAATCGAAAACATAAATTCACTATTTACATTTCTAAAAGACCCTTTGATGTAAAACGAATACAATTTTGTGTATTAAAAAATTGAAATATTAGGAGAAACAACAGTGTCTGAACTTTTACTCAATCGCAACACATAAACTTCAACAGCTTAAAATTTTTTCATCTGAAGCTCTAAAAATGATAATTGTCGACATGGCATCATACCTGTGAGAAAGTAGATGCAAATTTAATTAACAAGAAATAAACGTATTAATATCAATCAATTGAAGAGATAATGAATGCTTATCCAAATTGAATCGTGATAATGATACAAGTGAATTAAGATAATATAGCCTTTCTAAGCAAATGAACGAACATGTGTGTGAATGATTTTATAAAAGGAGATAAACAAGAAGGGGGGGAGCGAACAAAGAGACAACGTGCATAAAGAGAGAAAGAAGGGGGACGACACATGCACATACGTTTATAGGCATATATGAACACTTTCTTTGGTCGAAGTTATATCTGCTAGGACGTTAGAATTGTTGACGACTTTCTGCATTAAACTCAACACAAAGATGTCTGCCACGTGCGTCAAGCTAAAATTTTTGTTATGTATCTGGCTAAATCATTGAAAAACATTTATCTTCAGATATTCTTAAACTAAAAGAGAAACAATTTCAAATAAAAAATATGTATGATAATTAGGATACAGATGAGTTAAGATGTTAGATAGGTCGAACCATTATTAAATAGGATAAATGGTGGATCATATATCAACATGTTCGAGCAAGGTTTTCTTCTGAAAAAATATATATTACGAGAATAAAACATTTGAGATGCATTTGTTCGCTCATTCGTGAGATATTATTTACTGCTTTCAATAAAATAGAAAAACTATTGAAAAATGTCAGAAATTCTTAGTTTATTTAACTCAAGATTTAAGAAGTTGTCGAAACTTCGATAATATTTTTTTAAATATATTATATTTTTTGTTCTTTTAGATTATTCCCATTTACATTCTGTACAATTATCTTGAAGTAAAGCTCTGTCGTTTATCCAAATCTTAATTCACAATCATATTAAAATTATATTCGATATGATACGAAATAATCTTCGTCGAAACAGACCCCAAGCCGGTGATGGATATTTTAAAAAACTTCACGTTGGAGAATTTTCGAATAATTTATCAGTTTTATCTAAAAAGAAAGGTCCAGCAAAAACTCGATGGCTTCGAGGCATAGCAGCACATTTACAACAAGTCATTTTACGGGCAACAGCTGATCGCGCAAAAGGAGAAAAACGTATTGGAAAAATATCGCTCTCTAACACTGCTGTTGTAGCAGCATTGGAAAACATCGGTATCAAGAATAAATGGATAGAATGTCCTACTTTAATTGAAATGCTTCACTTAGACACGTGCTTCATCAAAGGTGATTATCTTCAAAAATCGAACCGATTAGAATTTAAACATTTTGAAAAAGTATGTTATTATTTTGATAGTAAGAACATATCTCGACAAACAGGAATAGCGCATTTTTTGTATTTTCGTCTTTTGAAAGAAACTGTTCTAGCATCTCATATTAATTAATGTTTTTTTTAATCTTATGTGTTAGCTAATTTAGATTGTATAATAACGATTGATCAATGTGATTTTTCTTTATATCGTGTTCTTTATACTGATAGTCGCAATAGATAGATTGAAATAAAAAAGAAAGTAAAACATCAAAAGTACTTTTGTTCGTTAACTTATGTTTTTTTCGTAATTGAGTTTCACTTTTTTCTGCTTTTCTGTATCGTATATGTATGTGGTTTTATAATAATATAATAAAAACTTACTTTTTAATAAAAACAAAAAAAATTTTTTTTTCTATTACTGATTGAATATGATTCCATTTTTTGTTTTCTTTTTTTCAAAAATTCTCATAGATGTGAAAAGTATAAAAACATAGAATAATCAAAAGAATGTTTCAAGTAAATAAAAAAATATCACCACAGGAATGTTTTTATGAGTATGCTCTTGGAACAAAAAAATACTCTATTTGTAATCGACACAAGCAATTATTCATATCTGTTTTAATCTTGATAGGGTACCTACGATCTTAAACTAAAATTTTTTGATAAAATTCAGTCGCACATAACCAAGTAGAACAAAATAATAAACTGCTTGATATAAGATTTGAACCCTGTCGCTCTACCCATCCTGCTAATCATTTAGCTACGTACGAATTAGTCTTATTCTATTCTTACTCTACGTTGCTCTTCTCTTTCATTAAATTTCAATCATACATATTC